TTATTGTAACTTTCATTCCATGACTCACACAGTTTTCTACCAATATAAAAGTGATTCGTTTTGATCTGGGTGGAGAATATTGGTTAAAAGACTTGATTTTTAGATGCATTTGACACTATACATCAATCATCTTGCTCAGGATACTGGCCGTAAGCATAGATATATCCTTGAAACTGCTCGTGCTCTTTTGCTTTCTTCATTTATTCCCACTATCTTTTGGGGTGAAGTTGTTCTTACATTGGTTTATTTGTTAAATCGTATGTCCACCCACTTCCATCATTTCTTTCGCTATATGAAAAGTTGTTCAGGAAACTTACTAATTATTCTCTTCTTCATGTTTTTAGTTCAGCATGTTTTGTTCTTCTTAAACGTGAGCGAAATAAATTGAGCACTCATTCTGTCTTATGTGTTTTCTTGGGGTATGGTTTCAATCAGAAGGGACATCGGTGTTATGATCATGTGTCTAAAAAATTGTACATTTCGCAGCATGTTTTACTTGAGCACATTCCATAATTCACAATTCCTTGTAAAATAGCTCATGTTGCAAGGGATGAACCGATGCGTATTAACCCTTTTCCCTTGGATGAGTCTTGTGATGAGTTTATCCCTTCTCTTAATGTTTATGATCTTCCTTCTTCGGTCAATGTTTTTTCTTTATCATCTCCTTCTTATCCTTCGATTCTTTCTCCTTATCCTTTGGTCTATTCTCGAAAAAAAACTTCTTTTTCTATATTTTGTGAGTACCAGTTCTGACAAGCCTAGCTCTGAACCTATGGACTTTGCTCAACCTAAACGACTGTATCCTATTCACACTCACAATCCACATGTAAGACTTGATTTTGTTGATACTTGGTTTTGTCCTTATCGTGTTTTTTTTACTTCTATTCATTCTTAGTTTGAACATCAGTCTTATAAAGAGGCTTGTACTGATCCTAATTGGATTAATGCAATACACGATGAATTGGCTACTTTTGATAAAGTTGGTACTTAGGATTTAGTTCCTTTGCCGGCAAGTAAAAAGACGTTGGTTGCAAATGGGTTTATAAGATTAAGACTCATTCTGATGATTCCCTTGAGCGTTATAAAGTTCGCTTAGTTGCTAAAGGGTTTTCTCAAGAGTATAGCGTTGACTATGCGGAAACTTTTGCCCCCGTTGCAAAAAGGACTATTGTTGGTACTCTTATTTCTGTTGCTACAGTTGATCAATGGCCTCTATTTCAACTTGATGTTAAAAACGCATTTTTGAATGGGAATCTCGATGAGGAGGTTTATATAAGTCCACCTCCTACTCTTTCTCATCTTACTGGTTATGCATGTCGCTTGCTTTGGGCTCTCTATGGTCTGAAGTAAACACTCAGAGTGTGGTATGAACGTTTTCAATCTATTGTTACTCATACTGGTTTTGTTTCTAGTGTTGTTTCTAGTGCTCAGAGAATCAAGTTCATTATGGGAGATGGAACTAGAGTTCATATTTAGGAGGATTTTTGGGTAGGAGAGCCTTGTTTATCTACCTTATTTCCTCGTATTTATCGCATCTCTTGTAATCATATTCAAATGATTAATCAATGATTCAATATTATTCTTGTCTAATTTCTTGGAATTTTAGTTTTCGTAGGAGCCTTAATGATAGGGAATGCTCAGAACTATTGGTTCTTTATTCTATAATAAGTAATGTTACCTTGATCCAAAATTCGGCTAATAGATGTTGGATTGGTGATCCAATGGGAGTCTTTTCATGCAGATCTTTCTTTGAGTCTTTGGTTGATGAACCTTTAGTTCCATTTTCCTACCATCACTGAAGATTTGAAAGGCTAAAGTACCTTTAAAGATGCAAGTTTGCTCATGGATAATTGCTTAGTATAAGATTAATATCAATGATGTTTTTCAAAGGAGGAGACACAATAATTGCCTTCTACCACAATGATGTGTTATGCGTAGAGGGGAGTGAATTGTGGATCATCTTTTTTTGCATTGTCCTTTGGTGCGATCTTTTTGGAAGAAGTTATTTGGTGTTGTAGGAATGTGTTGGATGACACCAAGGTCCAAGTTATCTATATGCTTTGTTTGGATGATATGGATTTTGGTGGAGGTAAAAAAGGAAGGACCTTTTGGCATTGTGCTTTCTTTGCTACTATATGGGTCATTTGGATGGAAAGAAACGCAAGAATTTTTTGGATAAAGGGGAGGAGTTTGAAAGGACATTGGGAAAAATAGTATTTTTTTGGCTTCTTTTTGGCCTATGTGACTAAAGAGTTTGAGGATATTTCTCTCTTTTGAATTACTACTAGCTGGAAAGCTTTATATGGATTTTAGCTTACTTTTATTTATGTTTCTATTAATCCATCATTGTGTTGGACAACTTGTCCACCTTTGATTTGGATATCACCTTTATATTGCCTTTTTGGCTTTTGTTTCTCATGGAAAAAAAAGGTTGCTTCTTCTCCTAAAAACTACCTTTTATCACAATCTAAGTATGCTAATGAGTTTATTCATCACGCCCACTTAATAGATGATAAGGTTGTTGCAACTCCTATCTAGTTAAATGTCAAATTCTCAGTTCTGATGGTGTTCTTCTTGATGATCCTACATCGTATCGTGAATTGGTAGGTTAGTTGTTTGATTTATCTTATTGTTACTCATATAGATATTGCTTATGCAATTCATATTATTTAGTCAATTTGTCTATACATCTCAACTACTCAATTAGTCAACCTCCTCTTTGACTGTACATGACTATGCTGATGCCAATTGAGTTGGAGATATTATTGGTCGCAAGTTAACCATGGATTTCAGTGTTTTTAATGGGATTCTCTTGGAAAAGTAAGACAGTCAGTTATTGCTTGTTCAACTATTGAAGCTCAATATTGTGCTATGGCATACACCACTGTGAAGATAGGTTTGGCTTTTAGTTGATATGGGTGTTGTTCTCTCCTCTCCTACTCCTCTATTCTATGAAAATAAAACATTCTGTAATTGATTGTCATTTTGTTCGTCAACATCTTCAATTGGACACTATTACTTTGACGTTTGTATCTTCTTCACTGCAACATGTAGATTTTTTCACCTAGTCTCACACTTCAACTCGTTTTTAATTCTTATTTGACAAACTCTCAATGCTTTATGGGCTCGCTTCATGAGTTTAAGAGGGGGGGTGTGAGAGTGTATATAAATTTTTATAATAGGGATATATTTGTCTTTTGAGTAGTTTAGAGTTTTTCTAATTTTCTTGGGCTATATTATATATTCTAGTAATCTAGTTTATTGACTTGAGAGAGTATTGTTTGAATATAATAAAACTTTTAATGACATGATGGATTTTAGAAGATATGACATTTATTTACATTGTTGGGAGGTATGCTCTCTCTCTCTCTCTCTCTCTCTCTCTGTATGGAGCCACCACATCTCCCCTCTCACTACGAGAAACAATCTGGGTCTATACAATTCGGGGGGAAGAGGGCGACTGGTTCTCCGCAATTTGTTGGGGGGCTGGCAGTNCGACACCAAGGTCCAAGTTATCTATATGCTTTGTTTGGATGATATGGATTTTGGTGGAGGTAAAAAAGGAAGGACCTTTTGGCATTGTGCTTTCTTTGCTACTATATGGGTCATTTGGATGGAAAGAAACGCAAGAATTTTTTGGATAAAGGGGAGGAGTTTGAAAGGACATTGGGAAAAATAGTATTTTTTTGGCTTCTTTTTGGCCTATGTGACTAAAGAGTTTGAGGATATTTCTCTCTTTTGAATTACTACTAGCTGGAAAGCTTTATATGGATTTTAGCTTACTTTTATTTATGTTTCTATTAATCCATCATTGTGTTGGACAACTTGTCCACCTTTGATTTGGATATCACCTTTATATTGCCTTTTTGGCTTTTGTTTCTCATGGAAAAAAAAGGTTGCTTCTTCTCCTAAAAACTACCTTTTATCACAATCTAAGTATGCTAATGAGTTTATTCATCACGCCCACTTAATAGATGATAAGGTTGTTGCAACTCCTATCTAGTTAAATGTCAAATTCTCAGTTCTGATGGTGTTCTTCTTGATGATCCTACATCGTATCGTGAATTGGTAGGTTAGTTGTTTGATTTATCTTATTGTTACTCATATAGATATTGCTTATGCAATTCATATTATTTAGTCAATTTGTCTATACATCTCAACTACTCAATTAGTCAACCTCCTCTTTGACTGTACATGACTATGCTGATGCCAATTGAGTTGGAGATATTATTGGTCGCAAGTTAACCATGGATTTCAGTGTTTTTAATGGGATTCTCTTGGAAAAGTAAGACAGTCAGTTATTGCTTGTTCAACTATTGAAGCTCAATATTGTGCTATGGCATACACCACTGTGAAGATAGGTTTGGCTTTTAGTTGATATGGGTGTTGTTCTCTCCTCTCCTACTCCTCTATTCTATGAAAATAAAACATTCTGTAATTGATTGTCATTTTGTTCGTCAACATCTTCAATTGGACACTATTACTTTGACGTTTGTATCTTCTTCACTGCAACATGTAGATTTTTTCACCTAGTCTCACACTTCAACTCGTTTTTAATTCTTATTTGACAAACTCTCAATGCTTTATGGGCTCGCTTCATGAGTTTAAGAGGGGGGGTGTGAGAGTGTATATAAATTTTTATAATAGGGATATATTTGTCTTTTGAGTAGTTTAGAGTTTTTCTAATTTTCTTGGGCTATATTATATATTCTAGTAATCTAGTTTATTGACTTGAGAGAGTATTGTTTGAATATAATAAAACTTTTAATGACATGATGGATTTTAGAAGATATGACATTTATTTACATTGTTGGGAGGTATGCTCTCTCTCTCTCTCTCTCTCTCTCTCTGTATGGAGCCACCACATCTCCCCTCTCACTACGAGAAACAATCTGGGTCTATACAATTCGGGGGGAAGAGGGCGACTGGTTCTCCGCAATTTGTTGGGGGGCTGGCAGTGGAAGGGGACTGAAACTTCAAAAAAAGAGCTTGACCAAAACCTAAAAATCAAAAGCCTCCACCACTAAGGTTTCCGTAATATTCTCTACCATTTCAAGAAACACTGCAAACTGAATAATTGAAAATAAATAAAGAGAACTTGAAGCTTTCATACATGAAATTGTTTGATTGATGAAGAGTACCTGCCCAGGAGGAAATAGAAGTGCTGCATCTGTTAGCATGGTTTTATCTGCTTCCATCTTAGCAGTTTCATGCAAATCCTGCAGCCATATACAACCACAAGCACAATAATGGGATTGGGAAAGGACCTGTACAACTGGATTGAATTAGAGTGGCAGAAGTGCAAACAACCTAATAAACAAGACAATTTGGTTAGCAAGGGATGCCAGAACTTTTGTCAGAGATGCAGTGGTGGAAGGTTTGTGGATTTAAATTATTTTCTTAGCTCCATTTTGGGCCTAGGTTACTAAGGACTTCCAAGAATTCTGCTCTTTTGCATTTGGCAGGGTGAAGAGCTCTTTGTGGTTTTTTAGCTGGGTTTTTTGTAATTAACATTACTATGTAATACTTATTGTACCGACTATATGAATCACATCATCTATTTCTTAGCAGAAAAAAATTTATCAAGACAGACATTAAAACAAGACATATTGATGCAGGAAAACAAGCATCTACAGCCCTCTGCCATTGGCACCAGAATAAAAGTTCAATGACCCACAAATTTGCGCATTGACAAATATTAGATTGTAGAAAACCTGGCAAACTTTTAGTAACAAAGTTTGAAGGACAACTCGACATAGACTACTCTAGACACAAACAATATGGAGGCAGTTTGATTTCATCCACCAGTATAACAGAAGAAAACTGCAGCAGCTAAAAATGAAAACAACCTCCAGGTTGGCTATTGACCCATCCATGCCATCAAAAGTTTTTTATGTGTCACTCATGAGAATGTGATTTTAAAATATGCTTCGAGCCAAAATCAAAAAAAGAAGTGTGATAAAAAGGGCATATTGCTAAATTCAAAAACATTGAAATTGGGAAGACTACTCAAACTTTAGTGTGTGTATAAACTTGTAATAACTCAAACGCTTGACATTAGCAAGGATCATAAAACGAGAATACAAACCGAGAGAGATTATCAACGATAAAGGAAAGACATACCATCAGCACCTGATGCTTTTCATCCTTTGCTTGAATGAAATCCTAGCAGTACAAAATGCAATGGGAAAAATTAGCAAGACAAGATAGAGAAATCAAACGCATTTTGTACCACAAAAGCATTACCAATCTACGGACTAGCTATAAAACTTGCTTTTCTGGCTAAAGGGTATACGTCGATCACATAATACCCCAAATGCATTTCTCCATTTAGTCCATATTGTTTCAATTCTGTGATTGACATCGTCTCCAATCTCCCCCTCCCTATTGATACTTGACCCCAAATACCAAAAGTGTTTGCTTTTGACTGTATCATTTTATCTTCGATATTTACTACATACCTATTTGAATTTCAACTATTACTAAACCTGTATTCCATTTATTCAGTTTTATTTCTACTTATCTTAAATCCTTTTAATTCAAAGGTTTCTCACTACACTTCAGTTTATTGTTAATTTCTACTTTAATTTTGTCAATCAATACTACATCATTGACAAGTAATTTTTTTTAGATAAAAGAAGAATTTTATTATAGAAAGGAATAAAGAGCAAATTACAATGTTGAGGACAAGATTGTGAACTTTGATCAGAGAAAAAAACTTTGGAAGCCTAGGCAAAAGACTATAAATTTTGGTCGAAAGGGAAGTGTAATTGATAGTTTTATTATTATTATTATTTGATTTAGGAGTATTTGTTTGACTAGGAGTATTAGTTAGAATTTGACTAGAAAATTATTATAGAGTTTTAGTAGCATAGGACTTTAAGAGTTTGATTATGAAACTTTTTTAGAATTTTAGTAGGAGAATAATTTTTATTTTGGTATAGGACTTGACCTATAAATATTGATTGCAATCCCCACTATTTTTATTAGAGAGTGATATAATAAAAAATTATTTCTCTATGAAGAATTTTATGTGTTTCTTGACCAAATCCTTGCGAGGGTAAGGTATCTCTTCTTCCTTTTATTCTCTTATTTCTTTCTATTCCGTCCTACATCACTATGGTTCTTGGGCAAAGCAGTGGTATTGAAGAAAAACAGATGATGGTAAACAAGAAGTTTATTAGACAACATCTCCCTACTTTTCACCGGAGTGCGTAGCCACTGGAGGCTAAAAGTGGCTCCAACAAGTGAAGGTAATGGACGGGATGGGCATGGCTGATGTTTTACGAGTTGGGAGTTGCCTCCTATCTATTTGAGTGCAAGGCAGATCAGGGATGGAATGCAATCAAAAGATCCAGGAATGTGAACCAGATGACCTAGACACAGTTTAACAAGTTGTTCAATAACAAGTACTTTCAAGAGTCGGTGAAAGATAAGATGGTGGCAGACTTTTTAACGTTATAGCAACGCAACATGACCATTGCACAATATGAGGCAAAGTTTGCAGAACTCTCCTGTCATGCCACAAATTTTGTATCCACAAAAGCTAAAAAGGCCAACCGATTTGAGTAGTGCCTGAAGCCTTACATTCTAAATTGTCTTGTGGCTCTTCAATTGAGAGATTATGGAGAACCGGTAGAACAAGCTAAATCGGTGGAAAGGGACCTAGAAGAAACAGAACGCTGCAAAATTTGATTTAAGTAATTTCTACAAGTTGCAAAATTCTACGAATTTCATAATTTAAAATTCTTCAACAGGAAAATTAAAGATAATAAAGTTCATGGATGGGTTGTGTTGACATTAATCACAATGCAAACAATCACAAATTTCAGAAGAATAACAAATAAAAATGATTTTGAATGCATCACCAAAATGGCTTCAAAGATAAATGATTCTGAAACTAAATACAACGCAAGTGACACAGACCTATGCTCTCTGCCTATGGTTTAGTTATACTCTAATAGAATGGACCAATCAAATAAGCCAAAAGTGTTTCTAGTAGGACAGAACCAGAGTCTTGAAGCATCCAAACTATTTGTCTACCATACTACCCTACACAATTACACAGACGCAGGTTGTATCCAATCCGACTATTTCTGTTTCCATATGTTGGTATTAAATACTTGAGCTCGTGAGGTGAGGAGATGAGAGGTAAGAAAAATTACCTGAAAGTTAACGGTGGCTTGTTGTGTGCGAATGCAAGTAAGAGAGGAATGAAATTGTGGCCTAAGAGTCAACTTGATACAGTGTTGAGATTGTGAGGAGAGCGTAGAGATAATGGGGGAGTCGCAAAGACCATGAGAGTTGGGGGGGACAGTGAGAATCTGAGATTTAGGGTTAGGAGTTTGGTTTTCATAGTAGAGATTCGATCCACCTAGATTGGCGAGAACCACCCAGTTCTAATAAAAACCGCTGGTTCATGCCGGTTTTGTCCAATTTGTTTGCTTGAACGATCCAATTAGTGACCCACTTTGATCTAGACACCAGTTTGTCTGATAAAACTGCTTTTGGGTATAGGTTAGAGATTCCTTTTTTTATTTCCTTTCTATTGAATTGGTGTATTATTGATGTTTATTTGTTTTGGATGTCTATACTTTCTATTACATTTATAATATTTAGTATTTTAAAAGTTGACACAAGTAATTAGTATTTAGAATGTTCATAACAAAATATTTCTATTACATTAGGAGACGCTTCGGGCCTCGATTCCCTTAAATAACATTGGTTGTGATTTTAAAATCCAAACTTTTCTTGTTTAAGCAAACCTCTTTCCTAAATCAACCTAATGTCTTCCAACTATAAATACTTAGCCAACACACATTCGGAGATAAGGAGCATAAGAGGTGAGGAGGGTATTGTGTTGAAAAATGATTTTGAGAAACCTTATGACCATGTGAATTAGAATTTCTTAGATTTTGTTTCGAACATGAAAGGGTTTGGAAAAAAATGGAGGAAATGGATGAGGGGTCAATGAATTTCCCTCATATCTTTGAATGCAAAACCTAATGATAAATTTAAGGCATCTAGGAGGCTAAGTCAAGGGATCCTTTACCGTCTTTTTTATTTATTTTAGTGGTGGACGTGTTAAGTAGCCTAAAGGAGAGGGCGAAGAGGTGTAATTTGGTTGATTGTTTTGTGATTAGGAGGAGAAAGGGTTGTCGTTTTTTGTAATTTTCAGACGATACTATTTTCTTTTCTTTGTGGGATGAGGAGAAATTTAAAAATGAAAACAAATTGTTTATATTTTTGCTATAATTTTTTACCTCAAGTTAATTTGGTAAAGGTAATGTGTATAAATTCTAGTCAGGAAAAGATAGAGAAGTTAGCTTCAAAATTGAGATGCTTAATGGGTGGTTGGCCTTTGGTGTATATAGGTCTCCCTTAAGGTGGGTAATCCGAGCTCTAGGTTTTTTTGGAATCCTACCACCAAGAAAATTAGGGAAAAAATTAGATGAGTGGAAGACATACATTATTTTTAAGGGATAGATTAACGTTAGTTTAATATGTTTTGGCTGGTATTTCAATTTATTTCATGTCTCTCTCCAAAATGTCTTATTCGGTGGCAAGAAAAAATGGCGGGTTAATTAAAAAAAATGAGGGGTTCATTTCTTAGGAGTTACCTTACTTATCTTAGAGGGTTAAATTCATTGTGGGAGATGAAGCAAGGGTTTGCTTTTGGGAGGATACTTGGGTTATGGTGCCTTCATTTTTTCAGTTTATTTCTCGGTCTTTATCCAATCTCTTGCTATCACAATCACTGGATTGCATCTCTTCCTCGGTCCTACTCTTATCTCGTTTCTTGGAATCTCGATTTCTGTAGGAGCATGGTTCAAAGTATCAGCCGATTCCGATACAAGTCGGTCGAGTCGTATCCAACTCGGTATCTTCCAAAACGACACCATTACACGATACGTATAAACCCCTTGTCTCATACAACTCAACTGAGTTGTATCCGAGCCGATCTCGATATCATCACCGAATCGGCCGATACTATTCCACGATGTCACGGTATGTCCTGAATTTTTCATCATGTTCAACACTTTTTTTAGATCATATCGCTCAATACCATACCGCGACGCCACGATCAATGTGTCTCAGAACTCTCTGAGTCGATGGTTGATACTGCGACCTTGAACCATGTGTAGAAGTCTTAATAATATGGAATGTTTTGAGTTGATAGTGATGTTTTTCTACGCTTAATAATGTATCTTTGACACAAAAATATGTCACCTCAAAGATGATGAACTATTGTATTGAAGTATATATACTTAAGTTACACCATCTCCAATAGTTTAAACATTTGAAGTAGATGGTTGTTTAACACAGTATCATAGCAGGAAATCTTATGTTCGATCTTTCCCGCCACCCTAGTTATTAAAAGAGTCTTCACGTGCTTGGCATAAAATTTAGCTTGCACATGAGGAGGCATGTTGAAAAATGAATATTTAAGTTACACCCTCTCTAATAGTTTAACCTTTTGAAGTAAATGGTTATTTAACATATTGTTTCAACAGGTGTGCACTTGTGCAAATCCTTCTTTGAGTTCTTTAGTTGATTTTTTACTTCCATTATTTCTTCCATCACTGATGATTTAGAATGCCAAAGTGCCTTTAAAGGTGTAAATTTTTGCATGGATAACTGCTCATGAAACACTAATGATGTGATTTAAAGAAGGATACCTAAGACTTGTCTTCTTCTACAATGGTACATTATGTGTAAAGGTGGTAGTGAGAGAGTGGACCATTTTTATGGTGGAACTAAGATCTGTGTCATCTATGAATTGCTTGGATGTTATAAGTTGTGAAATAGAAGTATGAAGACCATTTGGCGTTGCATATTTTTGGCAACCACATGGATCATAAGATTGGAGAGGAAGCCGAGAATCTTTGAGGACAAATGTGAAAAGATTGAACGATTATTGGATTGGCTTTATTCCTTGGATTTCGTTTAGACCTTCATGTCTAATGAGTTCGAGAATGATTCTCTATCTTTTGCACTGTTGTGAGGTGGACAATTTTGTGAAGAATGTAGTATGGTCAATTTCTATAGTTGTGTTGTATGATTTTTTTATTTTTTATTTTTTGACATGTCATTGGATTGGACAACTTATCCACCTTTGATTGGTTTCTATTTTATCAATAAAATTGTTGTTTCCTGTCGATAAAAAGGATAGAATAAGAGGGAGAACAAGAGGAGTACACATTGTTGAGAGCCAAAAGCTAAACTTTACCCTACACGAGAATGTTCACTGGATTGACTAGTAGTTAAGTCAAACACCTAGTTCTTGAGTGTTCATGAGTGATACACCCTAGTCATATCAAAAACTTCCAGGAAAGGAGCTTATAGAACTCATTAGTTTATGTGGTTTCGTTGAAGATTCTTGGTAGAGTTTTAAGGGTAGCGCAGATCGTTGGTCCTCGAACAAGAACTCTAGCTTGGCTCACTTAACCCTAGCTCGAAACAGTCAACTCACTTCGCCTACGCAACGAAGAGAAGTAGTTTACTTACTTTGCTTGCTTAGCTCGAACATGCCAACGGCATTCCGTTCACTTATGCAACATTCACTCGTTTACTTGTTAGCTAGCACTATTCCATATTTTGCTTTCAAGGAATCTAAAGTTCTAAAAGAACGTAGTCAGTGGTGAATGAATTTTACTCGCTCGTTAGAGGAAGTGAATGGTTGGCTCGAAAAGGGAAGAGCTGCGCTTGCTACTTGCTTTGCTAGAAAGCTAAGCGACTAGTTTAGTGTTAAGAGGTAGCGAAGAAGACAGATAGGTTAGAAGATACGATCTTAGACCATCTTCAACTCTTCTTGGGAGCCAGAGTTTTTCGAAAAAATGTCTCATCCTTCAATATCATGATTGGGTCGACCAGGCCAGATCATGAGTGAAATATCATGATCGGGTCGACTATGACAGATTATGAATGAATAGAAAATTGGCGTTCTAGGATTCTTCTTCTTCATAAGTCATTTGTGGAACGTGGGAAGAGCTCGTGGAGCCGCAACAGGATTTGAAAAAGGAATTGATCGTGATTTTGAACCTGTTCTTTCCATGACTCCTCTTAATTGAGACAAGTGAGTGACTCTGTTCCTTTCCGATATCTAAAACCAAAGGGAACGGTAACAGGCAGACATAGCACATGCACTCTACTAATAGCGGGAATCCTAGACCAGCCCTGCAGTTCACCTCTTTTGAGAGCCAAAATAGAGTATACCTTAAGCCCCTTTTTGAGCTTTGTAGCATTTATTTCATCTTTGGATAAATCAAATATAGCATCTGCTGATACGCTTTTACTTTCATCCTCTTCTGCTTACCACCTTTGGTTTACTTAAAACATTAGGGAGGTTGTTGGTGTGATCGAGAGGAAGGCTTGACAAGAATACATCTACTGTGACTCGCGCAGTTCAGATTGGTCTGTAAGGGTTGAATCTTGTACTTAGAACTCGCCAGAGTATGTTTTAGGGCTGGACTTCTCGTAGTTTACCCCGTGTTTGGCTTTCCATGTAAAAATTGATTCTGTGATTTGTGATTGCTTGAGAGATTGAAATAAACACTCGAGGTCGATATATACTGACATTTGTATCATAGGTGGTTGGAACACAGTTAATTTGCATTTGATGTTTGTCCTGTGACTTGTTTTGCTCATAATTGCTTGTGTGTATAAATCGAACTTCCAATTCCAATTTTTTTTTTTTGTGAAGACCTATTCAACCCCCTTTAGGTCTGTATCTAGCATATAAACATTGTTTCCTCTCTTTCATTTCTCGTGTGCATATATGAATTCCAAATCAAATTTAAAGAACCGATGGGCAAACTAACCTCCAGATCAGCAATAAAACCTTCAAGTGCACGGTAAGGTGCATAAACAATAAGATCAAATCCTACACTCTGCAGAATAAAGGAAAGGTTGAAGACAATATAATTGCAGAAGCATGATGAAAAGAACAATAATGTGTCATTCATGTCCATGCCTGCAGAACAATCATCTCATTATTGAGGATCATTCGATGATCCTGTTCAATCCCCTTACCAAGCTCTTCTGCTGATACATGATTTTCTTCTGCCTTACAGGCTGTATATATACAGGTCAACCTGTGTACACAAAGACCCTCTGATTTAACAAATTGATATTTGTAACAATAAAAAAATATAAAAAAAACCCGGAAATAAATAGATCTTCTTTTTTGGATAATAAATCATAAATTCCGAAAAACCCAGAGAACGCACAACCTATGTCGCAGCATTTTATGGATCATTTAAGAAAAGTGATAAAAAAAAAAATCAGAGTCAATCATAATAAGGATCAAGATTTTGGTGAAGGAAAACATATTCCTAAAGGATAGAATTCTTTGTTCTACTTTAGAACGAGGGATCCTGTATGAGTATCAACCACTTATTTGCGACAACTATGAATAGATCTAAAAGTCTTACATAATGTCTTTAGGATGATGTTCCATGACCGACCATTGTAGATAAAATCTTTTGAAGTATGTGAGGGCCGTTGCCTGAAAAGCACAAACAATGTTCATCAGAGAAAATTCAAATTATAACTTGCAAACTTTTCCCTTTACTTGTTCTACTTCGCAGAAGGAACAAAGTCATATACCTGAATTTTACGTGGAAATTTGAAGGCATCACATACATCTTGAATTTTGAACTCATAGAATTCTCGCAAATGTTGTTCTTCTTCAATCTTAAGTGGTTTTGCACGAGAATGCTTTTCAGCTAATGCGATTAAACAAAATATAGAAATGTTGTAAGAATCATTAAAATGATACCACTTTCTGGTTTATCTTAAACCAGCACATGAAGAATTTATTGGAAAGAGATCTGCACACATATAGCATGTATAAGTGTACTTCTCAACAAAAAGTTTACCATTATCTTTTGCATCAATTTGAGGTTCAGGGTATGATAATGACCCATCAGCCTTTACTTCCATTCTTGTTGCTCCATACTTCACAACATTTTACATGGTTAGTACCATTGGATAATATATTTTATGGTATCATGAACTATTCTGCTAACAAAAAAATAGGCAATATAATAGAACCCCAAAAGGTATATCAGGAAAGAATGATAATGAGGTCAAATTGTCTAAACCTAAAAAACATAACCAATTGGAAAAAAAATAACGAAAAAGGAACATGAACATTTAGCATGATGGATAAGTCGTTGACAATCACCGGAAGTTGAGCGTCCTCTTCCTTTCATCTTTTTGTTTTTTATATTTAATTTAGTTTTTTTTTTTTTTGAAATATGAGGGGTTTTATAGGGGGCACTAGTTCAATGGTTAGAATTTTGTACAATAACCTTGTGTTTGTGACTTCAAACTGAGGATAGCCGATGGCAACTTTGTGCAGAAAATGTCAAAGATCAGTTTTGTAGCCAATCTACCCCTCCTAGCCCCCCATTAGGGAACTAAACTAATACTACTTTTTTATAAAAAAATACACGGGCTTTTAAATTTCCAATTTGGCCCACATCTTTTCCATTTTCTTCACAATAGGAAAGAAAAATTGGATGAAACATAGCCCCAAACAAATCTTGAACATCTCCCCAACTGTATAAAATTTGTTTTGAGTTTCAAACAAATTTTCAGGTGTCAAAGGCTCTGAACGTATCTGTGTCCAAATCCGAGGAGAAGAGGTGCTCATGCCTCCTAATAATAAGGTTCTAAACTTTAGCTATAGTCTTTATTGACCCAAGCATGCATTGATCCTTCTGTAGAACTTATATAATTACTTGTGAAACTAAAGTTCTATGAATGCACTTGCCTTCTTGGATTGATGCTTTTTTAATTGATATCAAGAAGAATGAGATATTTTGATTTTTTCATCCGTGCATTTTGTTTAATTCATGCACCTTAGTTTAATACTAGATTCACGTAGTATGATCTTCCAAAAAAATGTCATATGTAAAAAGATGAATAGATTTTTGTTTACTAATGGATGGTAGTGCTTGCTTCCAAGTACCAGGGAAGAGGCACTTTGTAGAGAAGTGTCAATTCATCGCCTGGTTGTTCTTGAGAATTGTTCTTTTAGCTAGGGTCCCACAACTTTTACGTTAGAAAATATGTGATTGGAGCACCTATCCCTAATAAATAGTTTTAAGAAGAGGTGGGGAGCCAACCGAGAGTTGAGGAAATGGATCGTATTACCAACTGAGCTGAGTAGAGTTGAATGTTTAGAAAGAAATTTTGATATTGAGGTTAGAAGGGCAGTATTCAAGTGTAACTATGAAAAGTCCCTAGGGTCAAAAAAATTTATACAAGTATTGGAAGATTGTTGGGAAATGATTAAAGATGATTCGATGAGAGTGTTCATAGAATTGTTGACAAAGGAATTATGTATTAATGTGACTTTCATTTATTTAATATCTAAAAAAGAAAAATCTTTGTAATCTTTGAATATTAGAGACACTAGTCTGATCAACTCATGATTCAAGTTCGCAGTATCGGTCATTGACTTAGAGAGCTCTACGACCTAAAAGAAAATGTTAAATATGACAAGAGATTCAGGTCACGTCGTGGTGTCGCAGAACAGTATTGAACATTTCGGTGACGATAACTCGGCAACTAGGAATTGACTAGAATACAACTAAAGTATCGTGGATTTATATGTATCGTGTATTAGTATTGTCTTGGAAGGTGCCGAGTCAGGTACAATTCAGTCAATACTTTGAATTGTGGATCAACTTGGTCACTTATATAACATTTTAGCAAGTGTTAACTGAAAGACTAAGCGATGTCCTATATAGTACTGTTTACCATTCTAAAAGTGCTTTAGTTAAAAGAGTGTCAGATTCTAGATGGTGTCTTGGTGGCAAATGAAGTTGTGGGGGAATATAAATCGAAAAAAAAAAAAGAATTTGTTTGTTAGGTTAATTTTGAAAAAGCTAATGACCACCGCGGTTGGGATTTCTTAGATTTTGTATTGCAAAGGAAAGGGTTTGGGACTAAGTGGGGATTGGCTTCAAGGATATTTGTCTTCGACTAATTTTTCGATAGGGGCTAATGGAAAACCAAGGAAGTGTTTTACAACTTCTAGAGGATTGCATCAAGGTGATCCCCTTTCCCATTTGTGTTTACTCTAGCATTGACGTATTAAGTCAGTCATCACAAGCAAAAATTCGTGCTCAAAATTGACCATTGTGACACTAGCCTTCATTAGACTTTTCATCCTTTTAGTCCAGTGCCACCTTGATATAGAAACTTTAACTAGCAACCTGCGGTGCCTAAACAATTGCAAGTAATGATTATTCTCCCATAGTTATGCCCATCTTTGTAGCACAAAATTCTTAAGCATCCATGACTACAAGAATTTTAGTGCACAAGGTAGTAGATAACTAATACTAAAAATACCAAAAAACCTTCAGACATTCAAAACATAAAGCTACTTAAAGTAAATAATTTTAGATGCTTAAACCAAATAAATGCATCAAGAGTCTGATTTTACCCAAGCTACTACAAGTAATTTCACCCAAACAATCAACAAATTTTTTTGATAAACCAATCAAACAATTACATCAAATACCCATTGTTGTTCGAAAGCTTAGAATCAGGTGGATAATTTCTCAAAATGTCCTTGAGTTTATGAAACTATAGAAGAACCTGTAACGCCCTGACTAAGCCTTTCAATTTCTCTCCCTCTTTTCTCTCTTCTTTTCTAAGTTCTTAGAGGGTTTATGAAGCTTTAGGAATGAAAGTAAAAGATAACACCGAAAGAAAATCAGTCAAGGTATATATAGACATGGAAAATGGTTAAGGCAGTGGAGAAAAACCTCCCACAAAGCAATCGAACGAACGACCGACCAGTTGAAGGGACAGGTTGACTAGTTACTCCTCACCGATTGACCAGCTGGACAAACTGCCCAACCTTTGTTTCAGACTAAAGCGCTAGGCAAATGACCGTTCTGCCCCTGAGAACCTCCATTGATTCTTATGTTTATTCTAAGGTTTTTCAATGTCCCCAATCCATTTTTAGTGTTATTTTAGCCCAAAAATATTTATATTAATTCCTAATCTCCAAAATCAAGCCTAATTACATCGAAATTGCAATTTGTTCCAAAATTGAATTCTAGCAAAATCAAGCCCTACGATTGATTCTTTGCCACCATTTGACTTCATATCATAAATTATATCTTATTAAACATAATTTTGAGTTCATAATATCATTTTAATCACTTTTAATGTCTCGTGAACCTACTTTCCAAAAAAAAATGTCTTTTGAACCCAAGATCGAGCCCCATTTCAAATATTATTTCTCAAAATTATACCATTTCAGGACATCACCCAGTTTGGTCACTATTAGTCGAGTGTGATGGAAGGGACGGAAGGGGTAAAAATATAAACCGGTGGTGTTATACTCACAAAGTGACTGCCCTCCAAATTTGAATCGCCGGTCAGGCAATTATCAATCCAAGAATCTTACCACGCACTGGCAATACAATAGGCAATGACCCTAAGTACATGAAACTATGAGAACAAATAATTACGCATTCAGACATTATTTGTATGTGCCCGTATGTTTAAATGCAGACAGATATCCTTGTAGAGACTGATAGAGTCACATAAATATGCACCAATGTACAACAAACAAATCAAGAGTTTCTTCGTACCTTCTCTAGGGCTTGTCTTGCCCTTTGATTAGCAGCTTTGTATTTTTCCATCTATATGCATAAAGGGTAATCCAGTACAAGAAAGTGGAATTTGTAAAATAACAGTAGAAATAAATATGGAAGGGTGGGGAGGGTTGTTACCAGATGCTGGGCAGAGAAGATCCACTTGGCTCGGTGAGTAGAAGTAAGAAAATCGGCCATTGCCTACGGCTCCCTATGAAGCCTAGCCCTACCTCGCAGTGTGTGTGTGTGTGTGTGTCTGCAGGTTCTTTTTCGGGTTTAACCCAGGTTTATGAACAATAGGTTTTGTACTCTCTCATTTCCTACCAAAAATTGATTCAATATTCTATCACTTTCAGAATAAACAAAACAGAATTATCACATGAAAACCAATTCAAAATCCAATTTTCTAAACTATCAATTCTTTTCCAATTCGTATCAACTCCAAAGAAAATCTGCAATCGCAAGAAGAAAACAAAGCGTGAAACAATACTCACCGATTGAAGGCGCAGAGAGCGAGAGAGAGATGGAAGAGGCAGTGAGGGAGGCGCAGCAGGGCCGAGATGAACACAGAATAGAGCGGCAAACTTTTGTTGCCAGGCTACCACTTTTTCTCTCGGTAAAATCCATACATAATTTATTGAGTAAATTTCTTACGGCTTTTATATCTAGCAGCAATTCACCACGTGCAACATTGAATAGTTTTTATACACAAAAATAATAAAATATGAATTACTAGTTATATCTCGTGCTTGAAGGCATAGAGTATTATAAAAATAATCAATAATAAATATATTTGTATTCACACCCAAAATCAAATCACAAATATAAAACAGAGATAAATAAATTTAAGTACCGACTATAATGGGGTGAGTGGTACTAGTAGTGGTGGGTGGCAGTGGTGTAGTAGGAGACGGTGATGGTTGTGGTGAGTGGCGACAACCGTGGGTGACAACGGTAATGGTGGTAGTGAATTTTGGGTGACAATGATGGTAATATTAGTCGTGGGTGACGGCGGTAGTTGGTGTGGGTGGTAGTGGACGACGGTGATGATGGGTGGTGACGATGGTGGTGGTGGGCGACGATTAGTGCTTTTAGGCAATAGTGTGATGGTGGTGGCGAATAACAGCGGTAGCAAGTATGGTGAGGGTAGGTGATAATGGGTAGCTGTAATAGTGGGCGATGACAGGTGGTGGGGGTGGGTGACAATGGCTGGTGGCGATGGTAGACGACGACGGGTGGTGGTGGGTTGTGGTAGCGAGTGACGATGGACAAGAATGATAGTGGTGAGTGTTGACGGTAGGCGATAGTGGTAGTGGGATAAATGGTGGTAATGGTAATAAATATAAGAATAAGATGATAATGGTAATGTGTGGTGATAGTAGACGACGATGATAACAATCAATGGTGGGTTGTGACGGTGGGGAAGTGAAGGTGGGGGTGGGGGTGTAGGTGAGGCAGTGGCAGTGGTGGGTTGGCGATGGTGGTGGTAGTTGTGATGGCCGTGGAGGTGGTGGCGGGGGCAGTAGTGGTGATGGTGGTGGGTGGGGGCGGTGGGAGATATGGTGCGATGGTGGTAGTGCTAGTGGTGGGGCGATGGTGGTGGTAGGGTGGTGGCAGCGGTGAGTGTGGTAGGGTGGCGATAATGGTGGTAGTGGCAGCGACAGCGGTGACGGCGGGGTGGTGGGGGAACGGTGAGAGTGGTGATGATAGAGGTAGTGGTAGAGTAGTTCCAAACACTGTATATATATATTTTTTAAATCCTTATGAGAAATAATTTATAGAAACACTTTTAAAAAGTTATTCCAACACACCCTTAGGCTCCCTATTTTTTCTATTAAATTTAGGATTTTAATATTAGCCATCAGATTAACTTTAAAATAAAATTTAAATTTGAATGGTGATAGTGAATTTTGGGTGACAATGATGGTAGTGTCAGTCGTGGGTAACGATGGTGGTGGGGTGTGGGTGGTAATGGATGACGGTGATGATAAGCGATGACGATGGTGGTGGTGGGCGACGATTGGTACTTCTAGGCAATAGTGTAATGGGTGGTGGCGAATGACAGCAGTAACAAGTGTGGTGAGGGTAGGTGACAATGGGTAGCCGCAGTAGTGGACGATGACAGGTGGTGGGGGTGGGTGACAATGGCTGGTGGCGATGGTAGACGACAACGGGTGGTGGTAGGTTGTGGTAGCAGGTGATGGTGGATAACAGTGATAGTGGTGAGTGTTGACAGTAGGCGACAGTGGTAGTGGGATAATGGTGGTAATGGTAATAAATATAAGAATAAGATGATGATGGTGGTGGGTGGTAATAGTGAACGACGATAGTAGCAATCAATGGTGGGTTGTGACGGTGGGGCAATGAAGGTGGGGGTGGGGGTGCAAGTGAGGCAATGGCAGTGGTGGGTTGGCGATGGTGGTGGTAGTTGTGATGGCCGTGGAGGTGGTGGCAGGACAGTGGTGGTAGTGGTAGTAATGGTGATGGGGCAATGGTGGTAGTGGTGATGGTGGTGGAAGAGGTGGTGCGATGGTGGTAGTGGTGGTGGTGGGGCGATGGTGGTAGTAGGGTGGTGGCAGCGGTGAGTGTGGTAGGGTGGCAATAATGGTGGTGGTGGCAGCGACAACGATGACGGTGGGGTAATTAGGGAATAGTTAGATGAATTGAGATAAAATTTAATATGTTACTCTATAATATATATTATGAAGCATATTAAAATTCTAAAAAAAATTATGTTTTACTTAAAAATGCACTATTATATCTACTTTCACATAAAATCTTAATACAACTTAGAAAGTCTATTATGACTAAAGAATTATAATGATGTAACATAAATTACTTTTAAAAAATTGTATATACGATTATTTTTTATCTTAAAAATAAAAATGATTAAACTTTTCAAGAAGAAAAATACACATGTAAGCATAATATTATCTTTTCATACGAGATAAATACTATTAGATTGATGAAGTTTTTAAAGGTTTTTTGAATATTTTATTAAAAATATAATTATGCATATTTTTTAAGGGTAATATAGTTATTTAAATTTTTTTATACAAACTGATATTAATACATAGAGAATAAATAACTAAAAGGGATTTTAGAGATAATTTGGAGATTTAAATACGTAAGGATATGATAATAATTTAGATATTTATTTATGAAATGATAAAGGGTATTTGTTGTGACGCTCCAAAATTCATGGGTCTTTTCTCAACCCGTTGATCACCTATCAACTTGTGAAAGTACCCATGAGTGTCGTGTAATTCGACACCACATCATTACAACCCCTTCACTAGAATTGTAACCAAAATAATCTTTGGGCAGAGTTTTCCTTGTATTGAAGCACTACCTAACATATAACCTGTATACATACCCACCACATGACCATTCCAAGGTCCAAACCCATGGTTAGTACTTATTATCCTCCATTAACAATATCCCAAGAGGATTGTTTAATAACTGAAAATCCCTTAAAGTTATATTTTAAAATTTCAAATTCTAGGAAGAGGTGTCGATACGTCTAGTACGTGGTACTAGTATCTTGGAACACTGTTTACTAGGTACCTGTACCTATTTGCCCTAGTACCAGTACCTAGACCTACTGTCCATCGAGGTATAGGTACCTGAGTTCATTGGAATCGAAGTACTGGAACCTGTATGCCTAGGTATTGGTACCTGGGTCATTTGACAGTGTAGTACCAATACTTAATCACTTTAGGTACCAGTAATNACCAGTACCTAGACCTACTGTCCATCGAGGTATAGGTACCTGAGTTCATTGGAATCGAAGTACTGGAACCTGTATGCCTAGGTATTGGTACTTGGGTCATTTGACAGTGTAGTACCAATACTTAATCACTTTAGGTACCAGTAATTGAGCCCATATTTTTTCCAAAATCTTTTTAATTCTCAATCTTTAATCATCTAATCTCTTAACATTCATCCATAGATTCATTTACATCAAAAATTTTGTCCAAATATTTCATTACATACCCTTTTATACAAATTTACAATTTTAAACTAATTACATAATCTATTTACNTCTAATCTCTTAACATTCATCCATAGATTCATTTACATCAAAAATTTTGTCCAAATAGTTCATTACATACCCTTTTATACAAATTTACAATTTTAAACTAATTACATAATCTATTTATAAAATGTAATTCAAAAGCCACATTCCGACTTCCTCATGAACAAGGGCCCAAGTGAGGGTCATCCATTGACGCTTGTTCAACACATGAGATATGTCCCCATAAAAGAGTGAGTCGTGCTCAATAGGATATTTCTTAATGAGGCTACTCCCTAATTCAAATGTATATGAAATGTTTACATGCAATTCATCAATCAAACATCTATTCAAGAATATACAATTCATAAATGAATATCACAATGTCATGTCATGTCATGCGATGAAATTCACATACATAATGCAACTTGAGCCCTCTTCTAGGTCCCATAACACATGCAATGTCATGCGTATGCATCCGAGCATCCCAAGCCTTCGCCATTGATGTTGAACATCCAATGACTATTTTATAAAAATCCTTGAGTCTTTCTTGGGATGGGTATTTATGGACTTCCACCAATGGGTACCCAATCGACAAGACATCTATGGACTTCTACCAACAGCTCTACGTACGCCGACACACTTTATGAACTCAATACTAATGGCGAAAACGCGTATCTGAAATTACCGGGTCTTACACTTGAGAGAGAATCTAGCCCTTCTTGCTAACCCCAACTCTTGTTTTCAATGCAACCCAGGTTTGACTTTTTCGCGCTCACGTATCAACCCACCAAGGATGATATTCGATCAAAAATATGCACACACATTCACACTCATATCGAATGCCCACAATTGTGATGCTACTTGTGCATATGTAAATGTAATGTACAATTGTAATTATAATTTCATGTTTATCATATTATGAGCATATTATGAACATACTAATTTTCAATTCCTCAAATGTCAATATATCTTGAAGCATATACTAACGTTTTCACAACCACTAAGCATGTTATATCATTTCAATTAAAATAACACACCTAATTCATTCATTGGTATTTTATCAATTACCTATAAGACATAAAGATTATGTAAACAAATAGCATGCTCAAAACATTACATTCTTCGTGAAATTCATAACTAATCAATTTTATCAAAACCCAATCATGAAAGATTTTGCTTA